ACAATTTTTTGATTGTCAATCTTATAAAATTTCGAATGTACAATTTTTGCATAACTTTTTTCTTCCTTTTTATACGTGTTATTCCTATCTCTAATGTTAATTACGATCGACGTTAGAATTTTTAATGTCAGTCGATTCAATCATACAAAATTTCCTATGTACAATTTTCACATAATCTTTACACATAATAATACATAAACCGATTCAAAAGTGCATATATTTAAAAGTGAGTTGCAAGTATTCATTTTCCTCGTACGGCGTAGATTGTTTGATCTTGGTCCCAGCGACGTACATGTGAATCAGTTTTTTCCGACTTTTCGCCATTTTCGCGGCCCGCCTGAGAGTAGGAGGACCCACCTGGCAGCATCCCTCCACGTCAATAATCGTTATCTTGGAACAATTATTGAGGACAGAGCACACGTCCTGATCCGTGATGCCCACGTTCTTCCTGCAACGGAGCTCGGTCAACGACTCCAACGATTGCAGGAAGAAGACGGACACCGAGGGATGCATGCAGTTTATCTCCAATATTTTCAGCTGGGTCAGGTCCCTGAGCGGTTCCAGGTAGTCGTCCCTCAAACTTTTGCAACCGGTCAGATTCAGATAGGTGAGGTTGCGCATGTAACGGCCGATATCCATAACGAAAGTGTAATTCACCCATATGCAATAGGCGACGCTCAACCGGCTCAACTGCCGGTACAATTTCGGTATGGATTTCTCTGTCAATCTGCTGACCAACACCTCCCTTATGTCTATTTCAGGTTCTATAAACGAGCAATGGTGAAATTTCACTAGAGACAGGGTCCGGAACAAGTTATTGGCATTCGTGTCGATGAGGGTGCGCAAGATATTGTTGTCTCGGAGGTTGGCACAGTAGATGATCTCGAGGTGTTGGAGCCGTTTCATATTGGTCAGCATGATACAGGCGAGCCGCGACTCGAGGCGAGAACAGTTCCTCAATATCAACGTTTCCAAGTTGGGGTGCAAATGCGTGAGGCACTTTCCATAAATATTCGTGCCGTCCGCGCGAAAGTGTCTCAGATACTTGGCCCGATCGAATATTCTGCCGAGCTCGGCGTCGACCGGGCCCTCGGTTGTGCCCAAGCTGAGACACTTCAATTGGCTGGATATCGACGCGAACGGCCTCAACGAGGACGGCCAAATTCTCAGCCCCGTGAAATCGATGTCGACCAACCGGGGACAATTCCACCCGATCGTCGCCACGATTCGGGGGTTCAGATTTTTCGACAACCGCTCGTCGTTTATCGCAACGCTGGTCAGACACTCGCCCTGCCGCCTCACCAGCCAGTCGAGGAAACCGGTCGACACGCACTTGTTCTCGGGCCACCGCCAATCCTCGAACTCGAGGTGGCGGACAACTCGATGGGACAGCTGGCTGCCCTGCCTCCAAACCGAGGACACCATCTCGAGCCGCGCCCTGTCCGCGTAAGGCAGGTATCGGGCGATGCTCGCGATGCAGTCCGGCGGTAGCTCCACCGTCCCGTCGTTCGCTCCACTTCCCTTCCGCCGCTTCTTCGAATTCGCCTCGTACATCCTCAACTTTCTGCAATCGCAAACGATCCTCCCCTCCCTCGACAATTTCAACACGACCGCCGCGTCCTCCTTCGTCTTGAACGCGATGAACGCGTGGTTGCAGTCCGTGTATTTCTCCAATATTAACGCGTAGGTGGCGTTGTACGGCCTCAACATGCCTAATAATTTGCCGCTGCTCGTGCTCGACGGTAGGTTGGACACGAACAGGCGTCGCCTGTTTGTCGTCGCCTCGATCGATCCCATGTTCAATCGATATGTTGAAATATCTACGGGCAAATTGAAATGTTGCGAATCCCAAAAGAGAAGAAACTCGATAGGTGATTCTCGACGGTGAAGAAGAAGGGAGAGAATTTTTTACTTACGAGTGCAGGGGGTGTGGTGGGGTACGGCGGTCACAAGTAGTTCTGCAAGTGGCGTACCTTGTCGGGATTACCGCTCAGGAACTAACAACGTGTCGTCTTCTCGGCCTATATATACCCCTGGCGTACCCCCGCGCTCCTTTTCCAGCCCACCGTCCGTTTCACTCGAACGTAGACATTTCTAAGGGAGAGTTGGTCACGTAGGCCGGAAAACCCATCGTGATTGATGCGTTTACAAGCGCGCTACCTCCCCTCCCCCTTTGCACCGCCCTTTTCCCCTTATTTAAAGGAAAAAACCCGGTCTAAAATCCCGATAGATAAGATATTTCGAAGAAAATGGAAAATCGGTATAATGGTTCGAAAGAGATTCAAAAAAAGAAAACAAATAAATTTAATTAAGAAAAATTTAAGATTATCTCGATTTGTATTTACGACGATTTATAATTGCGAAATATTTTTTCTTTTTTTTTTTTTTTCTCGTTCCATTCCTAGAATATTTTTTAATTGTTACTGAGATTAAGATTCACGAGTATATTTTCATCGACCCGTGGAACGGCCGACATCGGAATTTTAATCGGTTTTCCCACTCGTGGGGAAAACATAGGCGCCATAGGCATTTCGATTTTAAAATTGTGGTGTTTGAATTTCGATTCGCACGGATCCTTCCTGGATCCAATGTTTATTTGTGCCTCTCGTGTACGAAATTTTTCACCACGAATCGGATTTTTAATAGGTGAAGAAAAGAAAGAAATAACAACGATAAACTGGATGTTATTTATGTACCACCTTGTACATTGAATGTCCCCAACACGTAAACATATAAGAAATCGTTGCTACGGTTTATACGGTTGAGAAAAGTTAAGGAAAAGAAATGTAAACAGAAGGGAATATCAATGGAACGAAATTATAATACTTTTCTTAAATTTAGTTTCATTAATACGATGCTTGTAAAACCGCTACGCGTATGAAGAATTTATTCGTTGCAGCCTCTCCCTCCCTCGCGTTTTACCTCGGAGAAATGGGTTTGCTTGTAACGTTTTGTCTGAAGATGTCGCAGGGCTCGTAAGATGGAATGTAATTTATTCAAGAAATTATGAAGAGAAGAGCGGAGGCAGCGGATAACTTTGCGAGAGAGACAATACACGAGATTACAATTTTAATGAAAAATCGACGATAAAAATAAGAAGGTTGAAGAAAAAATATCTTGCAAATATATTCGATAATATCATGTATAATAATAATAATAATAATAATAATAGTAATATTAATCGGTGTAAACAGGCAGAGAAGCGTGGAATTAATGGACGAATAATTGGATAAACACGTTGCTCATAAAATGGATTAAATTAGGAGCAGTGTATCGATTCGTGCAGCTAATAATAATGCAAATTTGTGCAAAAACACAAATTTTTTACTTATTCTGTAAAAAAAAAAAGAAAAAAAAAGAAATAACAAATAATCTGTTGCTTGATAATCATAATATGAGGTAAATAACAGGAAATATCAAGAGGTAACTTTTAGAGGTCGTTTGTTTACGTGTATTCCAGCAACTCGAATTTAATGTATGTATCTTAACGACGTTGCAGCGTCGTTATATTGATTTTCAAATATCATCGACAGGTTTGTCGATAATGTAACAAGTGATATTTTGATAGATACTTGATCACTACTCGTGTCACTAAATCGTATTATGATCGATTGATAACACGCTATATTTCAATAATTTAGTATAATAATTTAGTAAATCCTATTTTCACGAGATATAAAATAATAGTGAAGTAAATAATACGTCGTATTTCTTATTTAATAAGATGGAATTAAAAGAAGAAAAAAAAAATTTATTTTTAATCTCGTTTCTCGATGATATTAACGAACGATAATCGACTTTAAACGAAATCTCTTCATTTTAAAATTGTTCCATTTCACGAAGCCAGTTTTATTGTCATTAAGAGATAATTTAAAATATTTAAATTTTCTACGATTTTCAAGATCTGATCAAAGAAATGATGATCTTTATTCGTTTCTAATTATTAATTTATTCGAAACCAATTCTCGCACTTTATCATGAAAATTTCGAAGAAAAAATTCGCCACCATGTATATTTCCTGTTGTTCTATCTTCTCTGTTTTCCTTTTTTCTTTTTTTTTTGTACAAATTTTTTAAACAAACCTTATACAACGCACACAATTCTCCGATCTAAGAAATTGCATGGATAAGAAATCTCATTTCCGTGAATTTTCCTCTACGTTATTTTCTTTACATTTTTAAATTTTGAAGAGTTTTCGAGATTCAACCGAGATTCGATCCGATCGTTTAAAATTGTTTCATTTTTCCCGTTGTTTATGATATTATTCTTCACCAAAGAAAGAAAAAGTCAAATATTTTTTTGATCAAATACAAAAGTAAAATTCAAAAACTTGCAAAGAACAAAGTGTCATAAATTTGTATCAAGTTACACGATAAGGCCATGATGGTACATTCGATATGCAAGAGCAATTTATACGCGAAGGGCCTACGCGATAACCTAACCTGAGATTTGAAAAACCATGCGAAGAGATTAGATAATTATGTTGGGCCTTCCAGATCTCGGTGAGGGGCTATTTTAAGAAGGCACGAAAGGACAGGATGTGTAAAATTGTGCCACATCCTCTTCTAACATCTCTTTTAACCCTCTGTAAAATTTTAAATATTGTACATTTGGAATGTACATTTAAAATGCTGTAGTAGAAATTATTATCGAGAAGATAAATGCAAAAAGTGCGTGCTGTAGTATTTTATTAACCACGAAAAGCACGAAAATTGGAAAATCAGAGAGATCGTCTTTTTTTAATTGTTAAATTTTATTTTATACGTTTAATTATTTTCTATTCGTTATACTCTGTTATTCCCCTCTGTAATTTCCGAAATATACACAGTGTGTATACTACAAAAGTAGCTTTTCAAAAGTGGTCGTGTACTAGTCTAACAGTTTCGTGTTTGAATTCTTTGAAATTTTCCAAAGGATCGGTTTGAAAGCATCGTGTCGTCCAGCCCCTAAATTCTTCGAAACATCTGTCTCCCTTCCAAAGATACGATGCGTCAAGGACATAGTAGACGGAAAAGACCAGATGCAACAACGCCTCCAACATTTTCCACTACGAACCACTTGACAAAAATTGGAAGTTTAATCTATATATTTCACGTGTACGGATCGTTGTATATTTGTAAACATTTAACAAAAATCAGTTAAAATTTGTTATTTACGTACGTTTCTTACACGAGGCAAAACACGAGGTAAGGATTAAAAACGAGAGAATTACCCTCAGAAAAATTTATGGTCCGTGCAAGAAGAACGCGTACCTCACAGCGCCTAATGGCATTTAAGCCGTAACCCCCACTACCAATTTTTGGTAGGTAGCTCGCCGGTGCTCTGTGTGTATATACATGTATACGTATATACACACAGAAACCCTAACCTAGGAATCGTCATAGCGTTAAACTGACAAATCAGTAAAATGTGTGGAAGAAGCAACTTTGGAAAGAGAACGCGAGAGTTGGAAGATATTAAATTTTGTTGGGCGATCACGTTTTGCTCGAAGGCAACCTATTATGCTACAGAAAATGACGAGGACATTTGTGAAAATTGTGCCGAGGATGTTCCAAGATTGTTGGAAAAGTTTCATTTTCACGCGCCAGTGCAAGCTGTGTCGAAAGCACGTTGCATAAGTTGCAATCAACGTATCCACCTTACTACAAAAGTGATCAATTGTGTTCAGTGTGCGACAATCGCTCTTTCCGAAATGCGTAAAGAGCAAGAAGAATTTAACAATAGACGGAATAATCAATAGAAAGGAGTTTGTTGGACGATCGTATTTTATTGGAGAAGAAAAAAAAAAAAAAAGAAAAAAGAGCTAAGGCTTCGTAAACGGATGACGATCAAGACGGTGTGCATACAATGTACGGAAAATGTTTCGACGCTGGAACTAGAACATTCCATCTTCACGACCCGATACAAACAGTGTCAAGAGTAACTTTGTGGAAACTGTCACGAATGTATCAACGAATCGAATCCGATCTGCGAATAGACATGGTTATGTGCTGGTTACTAAAAAAAACGTCAAGTTGAAAAGAGAGTACAAATAGCTTTAAAAATTAAATCGATTGATAAATTTTGTGATAATTTTATGAGAAATTTTAAAATATTTTTATATTATGATATAAAGTGTTATTCGATAAAATTTTAATGTAATTGTATCTTATCAATTTTAAGGAATATGGCGTATTGTTTTTGTTTTACGACCGTATCGTATTTCGAAAATTTTATATTGTGATAATTATGAATTTTTTTTTTTTTTAAATTCTATATTGTTATAATTTTCTAATTAATTTTACTTATTTAACTCGCATCGCGTCATCGTAATATTCATATACACACATTCATATTTTTTAAATTATAATTTAACTTATTCTCTTTTTATTATTTAACTCATCGTTGTTTCATCGTTATATCCACACCCATACTTTAAACTGTAAACGGAAAATTTAACTTATGCAATATGTGAAAAATAGAAAAAGATTGTACATTGTCTTGTGAACTATTGGTAAAAATATCTGTTATAAAAATATTATATCTTATATACGTATCTATTATTAGATAATAAACACTTTTATTAATCCAAGAATTCTTATCGAAATATATCGCGTGTTATTCAACAGTTCTTCTTAATAATGAACCAATTTAAATTATTTAACTTCTAATTGCTGATGATTCAGAGTTGATGATCGCAGTTGATCTAGCAATACTACACTGTCAGTGATCGGATATGAGAATCCTATCCGATTTCTCAATTCTCGCTTCCTTATCATCGATCAGTCCATCTTCTCAATTTCCATCCGTTGTTAGGATTCGAATCCGTGTAATTAACACACGGCTCTATTGGCCAATCTCCGTGGCGGGAAACACGTTATCTTGAATACAGAGGAAAATTGAATTTCGTGATCGTGGTTTGTTCTGAATAAATGAATCTCGCGTCTGATCGATATCACGTATCCCTTCGTCAAATTAAATTTCCCCAACGAAATTTTTTCCTTTCCATCCTTCCATTCTTTTCTTATCTTCATCCAAGTTCGATTATCGCTCGACGCAAACATCTCATTGATTTCTTTGACTCGAACTATTTCTCGCAAATATTTATTTTTTTATCTTTTAAGATATAAATTTTTAGAGATTAAAAATTACTTATTATGGACGAAAGAACGAAGAGTGAAAGTCCGATAAAATTTTCGTTTCGCTTTTAGATCGAAGCCGCGAATTTCTTCGAACTACGAGTCTGTTTTCGAACGGACAAAACTTATCCAACTTTTGTCAAATATTAAACGATTTTCCAATCGTTCCATTTTTTTCTCTATTCATTTTTTTTTTTTTTTATTCGCCGACTATTCCATATTTCTTTTCAAGGACGTGGTTATCGATGCACGAACCATTTATTAACCATTTTTCCTTTATTCCGTTTCCACGCGTTTACAATTTACGACTCAGCCTGATAGAAATGACGAGACAGTTGAACATTGTACGTAAATATCGATAAACGTTCATCTTTTCGGTCGTCAATATAAAACGTTTAAAATTCCTTTTTTGTGTCGAATTAGCTTTTGTGACAAATTGAATCCGAATGAATGATATGATAAATTCTATTTTTCATTTGTTTATTTATTTATTTTTTTTTTTTTTCGAATATCTTTCAAACAGATCATGAAACTCAAATTTGATTATCACTCTTCAAAGAGAATTTCATAATGTTACGATCGATGAATTATCCTCGAAATTTTTTTTTTTACGAAATCTTAATTCGATAAATGATATATCGTAACACGAGAACGAGAATTTTTGTTGCATATTTTATTTATTTATTTTTTTATACATTTATTTAATATCCAATTAAAGCGTGTAATGCGTGCGTACACGAATGCAATGTCGGTTTCTTTCACAATTGAAATGTTCGTTTCGAACAGAAATTCTCGAACTCGAGCTTCTTTCGCTTCCCCTCGATAACGCACATTATCGGTAATGTCGGAGGGAAGCGGAGTGCGATGCGCCATTCGTGCTTCCCTTCTTGAATCGTTGAAGCATAATTCTTCGATATATGTGTGTGCGCGTATGATAGCATTCCCTCACCTATTGAAAATCATCGATTGATCTTTCTTTGCTAAATTTAGATGAAATTTTGTACACGAATATTCCTAATTTTCTTGTTTGAATTCGATGACTCGTTGTTGCCGCACGATTATCGATTTTTGATTAGGTAAGAAACTTTTTGATTACGTGTTCACAAACAGAGAAACGAACAAAAGAAAAATAAAATGGAAGATAAATCGTGTACGGATATTCTCATATTTTTCTTGCATATTGCACCTCGGAGTTGGGTATGAAATAAAAGGTGGAAGACAAATGTTTTTCTTTTCTATGTACAATACCTGCCTCTTCATACGCCTATCTTATTTTATCTTCATCTAAATTTGAATTTCAAAATTCCAATCCGCGAGATGGAGGAATAATCTCAGGAATGAAACACGCGAAAAGCGGAGGTGGAAAAAGCTTGTTGACTGGCACATATTATAAAACGCAACATATTTTTACGCTTGCCACGACCGAGAGGAATGCTCCTGCTTATTTACTGTATCTGATACACCATTTTTCAGAGGCTGGTTGTTGACTAATCCGTCCGCGAAAAGGGGATAATTTACTATCCACCCCTAAATCATCGCGTGGACAAGCATCGGGAAGTTTATAAATCTTTTCATTCCGACCGATAAAATGGGTAAAATGTATTCGTTCAAAGACACTATTATTCTTAGAATATATAAAAAATAATAAATAATATTATTTCATTCGACGGAATGAAATTTTTTTAAATCGTTCCATTCGAAAATTTGCAATCCTCTTTCGATGTTATGTCGCGTGCAAAAGAATAAGAACGATTTAATAATAATAATTTTATAAATTTTGGACAAGTCAGATTTGATATGATTCGCGTACAAGGCGGGCAAAAGTATTAATGTAAATAGATGTCTCTTCAACAATTTTTTGCTAAAACGATTCGAGAATAAATTATATTCCTTTGTACGTCGTTAAAATTGTCCAGCTTGCGTTCCACAAATGTCCACAAAAGAATCCCGGCTCTCTTTGAGACGACGTTCCGATTTTCGTCCCCTCGCTTCGTTCCCGGGCATTATTTATCTTCCTAGAACGAGGCGGTCGGGGGCTGAAAACAACGCGCCTCCGTGAAAGGCAATCTTATCCATCTGGTAAATTTCTTCAAAGCGGCGGCGGCGGTTCAATTTCGCAGCTTTCATCCCTTCGAAGATTCTGAACAATAACTATTTAAGCGAGGCTTAATCGGGTATTAAATCGAATTTAATCGGCTTTCGACTGGCGGCCAAGTATCTCGGTTTCAGGCTTCAACTTCGTAATCCTCGATAATAGAAGTTCAATTAAGTTTATACAGGCTGAAATTTGCGGATGGTAATTCGACAAATAAATCAGATTTATTATTATCCCATTCTTGGGACGAGGAAGGGGTTTGTTGCTTTTGACAAAATTTAGAAATTTTGTTTTCAATCGAAAATTTCCTTTACGATTTTTACATTTTCTTTTATTACCTTCCTTCTTTCCCCTGGAATCGTGAATCTAGCAAATTTATGCCGTTCCAATGATAGAAACGTTTATTTCCCCGAGATTTTTGACGTTTCGGTAAAATGATCACTCGCAGAATCGATCGCCAGAAAATGTCAAGTCAGATTGTTATATCCGTTGGAAGTAACGACGAAAGTATTATTTATTTCCACGAGTTGAAATTTTTATCGAAGAATTGAAACTTAACGTTCCGTTTATAAGCTTGTTTATAAGAAATTTCATTGGGAAATTCTTTCGATTGGTTGGAAAATAACAATCTTTGGGATTGATCGTAAAAAAACACTTTCGATTAAGTGGCTGGAAGAAATGAAATTTTTAATATTTTCCAGTAAACACACAGAGAAGGGATATCCACGTGAGATTTCTTCACATAGTGAACTTGAAAGCTTGGTCGCGTGTTCCTGCTACATAAATTCTGCTGAATAACGAACGGCTGCACGTGAACGGAATGAATAGAATCAGCTAAAATCCTAGGGGCTAGGCGATTGGGATAGCATTGTCGGAAATTTGGCGGAGAAAAAGGCGGGAAAGGTAGGAAAAACTCGGAAAGGGAAAGATGGTAGAAATGAGCCGAGTCTGTGCCCGACGGTTGCCTCGATTTATCTCAACTTGGAAATTCGAATCCATTTGAATCCATTCCATCGTCCACGTAAATATTATTTGCGCGCGATTAATTAAATATATTGCTTCGTTGCGTGATAATTCATTCAATTTATAATATTTAATTTAATTTGTTATTATTAAATTGTTTACCTGTCGATGGAAATCGCCATTAAAGTGAAGACGCTGGCGCATATGGTGAGGACAGCGATGAACTGGGAAATCTTGCAGTAAAGCGTGCCAAAAGGCCAATGGCTGTTCAACATGTAGACGTAATTGAATGTGACGTTCAACGTGGACACCATGGCATCCGCGATGCTCAAATTCACCAAGAAATAATTGGTAACTGTGCGCATCCGTTTGTGGGCCAATACTATCCAAATCACTATCAGATTACCACCGGTTGCAACTATGATCATACCGGCGAACAACAACGTCCATATCATTTGCCTCCACCATGGAAGTATGAATTGATTTCTCAATTGTAGATCCGTGATATTCGTGTTATTGTTGTAAGTGTAATTCTCCATCAACAACGAGATGTTCCACGGCTCGATGGAATTTAAAAAAACTTCTTCGTTCTGCATTTTTTATGATTTTAATTTTATACAATATAGCAATATTTCCACATTTTTCACATTTTCGATATATCAATCTTTCAATCTTTACTTTGTAATTAATTTTATTATTATTATTAGGTGTATCAATTCTTTTCTTTTTTTTTTTTTTATTAGAAACCCTACGATTATACACCTGTAAAAATTGTTTTCACCGTTTTATTTAAATTTCGTTTAAATACGCGACTTATTTTCTATTATTATTAACCATTGTTTTTACACTTTGAAAATTTTTACACTCGCACTTTATAACGGCACTTCTATAACATTGTACACGTCCCATCACGATTCATATCCGTTTCAAAACAATTTTCTTATTCTCCGTCGAAAATTCTCCATAGTAAAATTAATTTCACCAAATTTCTAATCCATTTTCGTTTCGGTATTCGATAATACCGCGACAAGGTATCATGTTTCATTATTTTCGTAATAGGGATACCGATAATAATAATAATAATAATGTTGTTTCTACAATTATGCAGGCGAGAGGGGGGAGGGAGGATGGTGGACAACTCTGGTTGACTCGCGCACGATTCTCTTCACTTCCACTTTTGTTTCACGCACCAACGCCTCTAACAGGCTTCCATTCGACTACTAAGTGATTACCCCCGTTGTCCATCTCGATTCAATTCATTCGATTCGCATTGTTGTTGTTTTTTTCTCACGAGTTACGCTCTACGTACGCACTATAAACCTTTTTCACCGACATTGACACGTTTCAAACCTTTTCGATCAGGGCCATCCGCTTTTTTCCCCAATTACATTCCTCTGCCCTCATTTGGGAAACGATCATTCGTTTTCGACGTACATTATTCTACGTGGTTTGCATTTCTTCTATCGACACGTTTTCACTAGTAACTTAACCGAGATTCTTTCTTTCTTTCTTTTTATACGCGAAATCTGGCCATCTACCCATGTTTTCCTATCACGTTTCCTTGTAATGAAAGTGGCATCATCCCCATTGTATTCTTTTTTTACGATTCCAGACCTCCACGGGTAATTACTTCTCGGGAAACTTTCAGTGTTGTAAAGGAATCGTCCCCAGAATTCTTACAAGTTGCCAAGACCAACTTTTTTTACCGATTGACAGGTCTTCTCGATCGAATTTTTGCTCTATTTCATTTGTCCGAAAATATAACCAACTATATAAATACAAAATTTGGACGACGAGGTTTCCTTTCTTCTCCATTTTTATTACTCTCGCTTTTTACTTAACTTCTATCGCATTCCGATCGATCGATGTTTCTTTTCTTTCTTCGTGTATATGTATGTATATATAAAAAAAAAAAGAAAAAAAAAGGGAGGGGAAACTCCTCTCTCAAGATAATTCTTGAACAATTCACCTGTCAACCAATCAGTTTCTTAATGGATTTCTTAATGTTCCATCTTCTGATTATCCACTTTACGAATTCTTACATCTTATCCTTACCGACGAACGGTATATTTTCTTAAGAATAATTCATTCAGGTAGAGTTTCATTTCATTATTTTCATAGAAGAAGAAACTCGAGTCGAAATCGGACACGCGAAAGTTTTTGGGCCGCATTCCGCGAAAAGATCCATCTCTATCCGAGCCACAAACGAAACCAAGGATTGTCCTTTGTCAAACATCTCTTCTGTGTCGATAAGGCTCGCCTCCGCGAGTGCACGCGTACACAATGAATAGGAAGAGGAGAGAGAGCATCGTATTAGCGAGAGTGCAACGAGAGATTCGCGGGTCCACGGGATAGATAGATAGATAGATATGGCTTCAAGTGCCACTTCCGTGAACCGTTGTTGGGTACGTCCAGAAGGACTAGGAGAAAATTATTTTCAGATGTCCGCCATCTGGAACGAGGACAAGAATGCTTCTGTTCACAGTCACGCCCGTTTCACCGATGCTTTCGACAATCTTCATTGGAATTGACGTTCCTCGCGATCGTGCTATCTATTCCTCTTCGTTTGGCCGAATTCTACCAGTTTCAAAACATTTTGTCACGTCTGCAATTTCATTGAGAGCTCGTTTCGTCGATTCTTGTAAACGGCCAGACCTACAACAATAATTAATAAAGCGGATTATTCTTCTTTTTTCTAATAAATATTCAATCTATAAATTTGCGGATTCAGATTAAATTTCATTTTTTTTCCATTTAATAAATTATATATGATATAGATAAATATAAGAAACATATATGAACGAAACGTATTAATATAGGATAAATTAGTTTTGTAGCGTCTTGTCGTTTGTGCAAATTTCATCTGTAGCTTCATTAACATTCTCTGATGAAGCATATAAAAGAATAATAGAAAAAGCGTGTTTCTATTACGAATATATATATATATGTCTGGAACAAAAATTAAAACGTCAGCTATCAAGAAATAACATTCACTTTACCTGATGCAGAAATAAAAATAACAAAAATAACAAATATATCTAAAGATTGTTTTTATTTATAAGTTATACGATTGAATTTAAAATTGTTCAATTGTTATTGTTTCTTCGTGAATGTCAATAATGTCACAAATATAAATTATTTATGAAAGTTTTTATTATTATTCCTTCACAAAAAGTATCTATACTGTAACTATACTGTATCTATTTTTCTATCGATTTTCTTTACCTATAGTTCCTATTGTATACCTACAAGTTTCTATTCACGTATCTTATAGATTTATTCTATTATATCCAGTATATATAAGTGACATCTGCTGTTTAAAGTGTCAAATTATATATTAATAACTATATTATTAGTAGAAACGAAAGATCCGAAGACCACGCGCGTTCTTTTTAATTTTTCAACAATTTACTTTAACGATACTCTATTAATCTTAATATAATTTTAACGTTATATTTTATCTCCTCGTATTTCCGTTAAAAATAAGATTATTATAGAGATATTTCTTCTTCGTGTCGGTATTTATCATAAAATGTATCGTTTCTTAATCTTGTTAATCTTATTAATCTCACGATTTTTAAAACTCGTACAGTTTTATTTAATTTTACATTTACGTTTCCAGTTATATTTATAAATATTATTTATTTCATACTTGTAGGTTATGTCTCCTGTAACACATTATCATAACCTACATATATATATATATATATATACACGTATCTGTACAAATGTGTTGTAAAATCAAAATCTTGTCAATTTGTTTAAAAATAGTACAATTCTTCGTTTCATTTTATGTTTATTTGCGGAAGATAAAATGCGAGAAAGAAATGAAAGTAATTGTAAATTTGTTAGGATTGCATGGATAAAAATCAACCTCGTAACTAACGTTATTGTTGCTAAACCGTCGTAAAATTCACGAACGAAAAAAAAAAAAAAAGAAAAAAAAAATTGCACGAACATCAATACGTGATTTCTTTCTTTATTGAACATTTTTGAACATGATATGAGTGCATATCGATACAAAATTTTTCGAAGAAATTTAACGATACATAATATTTTCCTTTATTTTCCCACAAATATATTTTTGCACGGAACAAGTTCAATATGCACATATGTTTAGAATCGTAATTTTGCATTCACTCTGGTGAATCGCGTATTCAAATTCCTCCGTGCAATCGTATATCGTTACATTCGTGCGGTACGTGAAAATGGAACGGTTAATGGTGAAAGGTGTTGCTATCGTTCGAAATGGTTTAACGATCGATACACTCGAGAAAGAGGCGTGCAATAGACGTTATCGAGATAATTCTTTTTTATTCGAGCAATTGCTTTCGAAACCGTAATTGTAACCGTAAATATCCCGAAATGATAATTCTCCTCCGTGAATTTTACAAATACATTTTAATTTCCCGGAAAATGTATATTAATTTAATTCTATCAAATTAATTTATCGATGAATTCATAACACTTTAGTATTATACAATCTCACATCCACACACTTTGCTCGCGAATTTTGCACGAATTTTGCCAATATTGTGCATTTCAAACATTTCAGAATCCGTTCGCAATCTCATATGTTAACGATCATCTCATTGTCGAACAATTCTACTCGTAAATATATGATAATATTATATGATATTATAATACATGAGAATAATATTATATATCATATTTCTTGCTCCAACAATAACCAAAATTTTAAAAACATATTTATATCACTCCCTTCAACGAACAATTCTGCAACCGTTTGTTTTAATACGATATTTTTGTTTTTGCTTGCCTGAACAATAACCAAAAATTTTAAAAACGTATTTATATTACTCGAATATCTTCCATCAACGATCGTCTCATCGTTAACGAACAATTCTGCAACAGTTTGTTCTAATTTACGATATTTCTGCTAGTTTATCGGGTGGTAATCAGACAATAAAATTTAGAAAGCGTAGTCGGATGTCTCTCTATTGTTGCAAAGGAAAAAAGAAAGATTAGGCTTCCAACTGCATCTTCAGGTGGCGGGTGAGGATACCTGGACGGCTTTCATCATTCGTATTCTGCATCGTTGTAAAGTCGAGGGAGAGCAGGTGGTCGACAAGGGGCAGGTAAAAATGCCTTAAAGTGCCAAACAATGGGACGAAGGGCCTAACCAAGCCAAGGTGCAAGCGTGTCGAGGGTTGGATACCTGGCATCCTCCCCCGTAAAATGCCTTGCTCCTCGTGTCGCAAGAAGGTAGATCTTTCGTTCTCTCGTGGAATAATTTTAGGGATTTCAAATATGGGTGACGTCTTTTTCTAAAGAAAAATAAGATTTTAACTCGACTGTTTACATTCTAAGAAAGTTACCAAGAATCAAGTATGTGATTATATTATAGATATATTTGCATTAGTAAATATAAAATGTAGGATGAATGGAATTTAATGGAACAAGCATCGAAATATAAATATAAAATATACTTTGGAGTATCACAGAATTTGAAATTTAAGAACAACGGAAACGGAAAAGTATGGGACGAGTATGATCTGTTTGGATCACTTTGCATCCTTATACGATTTTAAATCTAAAATTACATAGAGTGTTCCTACGAATTTCCATAAACTGAGAACTGAGTTGAAGTT